AAATGAATAACCAGAAAGTACACAGATTAACAGGAAACTAAGTTAAAGCTGTGTCGAGATGCTCGGACCAAATCTCCTACCCAATTTTGGCAGGCATGTAGAGCATCAGGGGGACGACGGGAGAGTTGTCGTTGCCGTAGATGATGAAACCCATCTCCCGAAGTTTTCTGCGGAAGTACGTAGTGTTTTCTGAGAGCTGTCTGAGGCGATCAGCACCTGGGGAAAAATAAAAAGCAGAGGGGACTTTAGCAACTTTGTCTSTCACGTGTCGATGTTTGTATCTCAAGAAATACTTTTTAAAAAGTTGAAAAGACCCCTCACATTATGTGTTAAAAGAAACAATTCTGAGCTCAGAGTTGATGGAAATTGGAAATTTGGATGTGAACTCGCAAACTATAGTTCGTAGAGAGACACGCTGAATGAAAACAGACAGAAATCCGGACGTTTTGGTTTATCAACTATAAACTTGTAAGATTTATGAAAATAAGAAGCGTTTGTTTGCAAAAAAAAATCTATGACATGTTAATTAAAGAAAACATGTTGAACATTTTACACTAAAACCTTCAACTCTCAAAATAAACTATAAAATACAGTCCAMCTCAAACTTTTATAAAAAGTTTCTATTTTAAATTATTACCAAGTTCTAGAGCTCAGTCATATTTTACAATTTTCTCTCTGGTTTCATCAAATTTAGAAGAGTTGTTTATGTGGAAATCAGGGTTCAACAAATCCTATCGCCCGACTGCCCAGGGCAGGTAAAACCCATTGTCAGGCAGGTGGGTGTGTCCCAGTGCATGACCGACCGGGCAGGTAAGCAATTTCTTTTCTTTTTTACAGGGCCATTTATTCAGAATATTCTGAAAATAAATGAAGAAATATGGCGTTTTAAAACACGTAAAGAGAGAATAAATCGTCAAAATGTCCCCCTCCCGCTGTAGAAAAGTTACATCTTGCCGTCCTGTCGCAGGATCACAGGTTCCTCCCTCCTTCCTGCTGCACGTCACACAGAAAGAAGGTTTAACAACCGTAGCTTTTTTCACACTCGTGTTTTCGGAGGAAAAAAATGTTTTTTTATGTATTATTACCCACAGAGATGAAAAAAATATGTGGACGTTTGTTCAGTCATTAATCCATCTGGCTAATGTCGGCTTCTGCTCTGATGAAGATGATGATGAAGATGAGAGAGGAGCAGCAGAGGATCAGAAGCTCATTGTATGGCAGGCTGATCTATCATTTATTTGGCTTCACCATATTTATATTCTAGTTGTCTGAAATAGTTTTATGACTAAATTAGACATATTAGTT